TATACAATGACATACCGTTACAGAATTCTGATGTTCACGTCAGAGTAAAGAATGTCGCTGGGGGAGAGAAGAGTAAGAAGTTGAAGGAAGAAGGGTTTGAAGCTCACTTTGTCAAAGCGCCGGCAGAATGAGCTGTAAGAGAATAATCAAACAATGTGATGACAAAGGAGACAAAGTACATACCTGATTAAGCGGGGGAAGCCGTTGAAAATACAGCCTTGCGCTGCGGACGGGCAGTGCGTTGGACGAGGGCGAGGTCGGGGGCCTCGGAATCCTCCTGGGCATCAGATTGAGCATTGGGTTCCGTGTTCTTCCCAAAAACTTCCTTTAGGAAGACGATCGTTCAGAAGATACACGCTGAGAATGAACAACAACAAAAAAAAATCCCGTATCCAAGCCAGAGTTTCGACGACCCGCATCTGAAAAGAGGTTGACATCGTTCCTGAAAAGCTTGTTGTAATTACTCCCTCTCGCGACACGCCAATCCTTCGAACCGATCGTTGTGCACACCTGAAGGAGTTGAGTGCATGTCCGTATTCAGAAAGAACTGCATACCTGGACGCCCGCATAACCTATCGTCTCCGGAAAAATCTTGAACACACCGTGCAGGGGTGTGTTGCATCTGGACTGTCGCGAAGGCAGTTAATGGTGGACTTGGGGCCGACCCATACGTGGCGAAGGACCTGAAGGGTGGATGAGAAGTGAGGAATGTGAAGAAAAGCTACACGCACTTGGGGCAGAGCGTTGCCACGCAGCAGTCCCTTTTCCAAAGCATCGAGGTTGTAGCTGCCTTTCCCGTAGAAGAACAAACGGTAATCGCGCTCCGTGAGTTCATGTGTGCCGGCAACGATAGATTTGAGGAGCGTTAAGAAAGATTATGTAGTTCACGTACGAGTGACATTATTCACGCAGCGGTATCAGCAGAGGTATCTGAGGTGCTGAGATGAAAGAAACATGGGTTAGTACTGTCCGCAAGTCAACCAAGGCAACTACTGTCGTCCCGGCTGCACTCTGCAAGAAAGATATGAGCAGAGTGCAGCAAGGTAGAAGACCCACGACGTACCCGGCAAGAGTCGCCGCATCGGGGTTACCAGTAGAGCAAAAGAAAGTGTTTGAATAACGTATGTGGCGGCGGCGGCAGGAGCATGAAGACCTAGGATGAGGAGAAGCTGAGGTGAAAGTAAATGCATGCACGGTGTGTGTGTTCGGTTAGGATCTTGTGGAATTCTGTACGGATAAACACCATTGCAGTACTATGTGTATTCTTTCCGTAGACTCGTTGTTCATGTTGTGGACCTAGCGAGTATAATAAATCCCAGTGTACAAAGGGCAAGCACAAATGACATACCAAGCATCTGAGACATTTTGGGGCACCTGGGGTCGTATGTAATGCACCTACATGCCCTTGTTGGCAGAAAACACCAAAATTGCCTGTTCTTGCGTGGGAGAGTGAAACAAACCTCGGATTGACCTCAAAAGACGGCAGAGCATGGGCACGGATGGTAAACATTGACTGGAGTTGGCATTGAGGGAGTGGGACAAGTGGGATCGCGCGAATGGACACAAAGATAATGGTGGTATGAAGAAATGTGTGTTGTAACGTGTGACAGTCACATCTAAAATATAACGGGCAATCAAAATCAAATAAATATTCTGGCAGCCGGAGCGACTACCTCAAAAATATTTGAACCTGAATCAAGGGAATTGGTTCAGCACCCTCGACATGCTAACCAATTTTTGGCCCGATAATTGTCAACTTGAAATTGAACTTGCTTAAAGGTACATGATTGAGGGTCGACTGGGTTCAACTTTTCGCCGCGTGTGTGGATCCGGACCCAAGTATGTTTTTCACTTTTTTATCCTCCCATGTACCCACCATTTGATTCAGATGCTTATTATATATTCACAGAACCTTGCCAAATGCTTGGGCTTAGGATGAAATTTCTAGTTGTGTATAAAGGCACGGGGATAAGTAATCAATGGTATGTTCATATCAAGTGGGTCGATGTCACTAGAGAGTTTTCCTCGATGTTTGAGATGCGGTGGATGCTCAGAGTTGGCTGAGACGCCTGCAGGCCAGAATGCTGGCTGCCGCTGGCCCTGGGGGTGGGAGGGTAGGGGAAATGTTGGCGGAAGCTTAAAGGGAGTTGAAAGGTGGGGAAAGGTTGGTGGAGTGTTGGCTAGGCTCGCCCAAGCCTTGGTGACCCCTAAGAAGGTCACATCAAAGCTTTGATGCCACTTGTTTGGACCTTGTGTGACCTTGTCAAAATCACAAGGCCTCGGGAGCCTTTGGCCCTTTTGGTGATGGTCATGCAAAAATGTTGGGATGAATGGAAGTGAACCAAATGCCCACAAATTTGAACTCCTGTGGGAGTTCAATGATGAGGTCGCCGAGACGCAGGACACATACGGGGATAATGCTGGGGATCATCCATTTGGAATTCTTCGCACTGATGAATGATGAATGTTGCAGTCATGATCTATTTTTCTCATCCAGTGTTTTAGATCTGAACAACACACAAGGATGAAGGGTGTTTTAGATTTCCTGCAGAATTCCCCCCCCCTCTCTGCAGCTGTAGGGAAGCAGCCCAGTCTGTCTAATTAAATTGGGGGAAGTCACCTGCACCAGTTGAGATAAAAGTGTATATCAAAGTAGCACCTCGTGAGAAGAGCCGGGAATCATCCACATATAACATGGTGCGGAACATGGTGTGGCACCTCAACAAGTCAAATGCTCTATATAAGCGGGAGATTGTTATGTACTGAGCCACGAAGGAAGGAATATCCAATCGGAATGCCAGAACAGAGTCGAGCCATGAACCGGCGGGTGATCAGATGTCGAAGATCAGCCATTCTCGGAACCCCACAGCTCAGTAAGGGTGACCGACTGACTAGCCTCTGGCTGCGAGAAGGGGAGTGTCCTAAGCCAAGCCCGAGGAGATCGCTCGGGGAAGGCGAAAGGACAGGATAGCCGAGATCGGCGACACAAGAGTATAGCCGATAGTTGTGAGTAGTCATCCAGTGAAGGCCCGAGAGAGATCAACGGGAATGGTGTCGACCCGAGTCGGATCAGGGAGATCGGAACGATCGGGATCAACCCGAGTCGGATCGGGGCGATAGCGATAACGAGCTGAAAGGAGACTAGAGGTGTATCCAAAGCAGGAGAGAACAACTCAGGTGTGTGTTGGAGTTGTTGGCGATGACCGAGCAAAGGGCCGAGGTCCGAGCTCGGGAAGTTTCCGAGATGAGCGACGGAAAGTCGGAGCGAGGAGATAGAGAGAGGACCAAGGCACGGTCATAGCACACAAGACAGAAGTGACATCAGACCATGCAGAGAACCATGGAATAACATTTATTCTCAGGATAGTGTACAAGATGTAAAGTAGAGGTTTAAATACTAGAGTCGGGTAATTAGTACATATGGGAATAAGTACATGAGGATGCAAGGAGGATGCAATGAGGCAAGCCATGAGGCAAGTACACCATGTGGAAGAATGTATCAAGTGAGCGTGAAGAACAAGGTAAGTGACAAGAAAGGAAAGATGAGAGTGTGTGAATAGAAGGAGAGATAGATGGATGAAGGAGAGATAAGATGTTAGTCCTGGGATATATAGAGGAGAAGGAAGAGAGCATATGGAGAGATGGATGGATAGAGAGAGAAGAGTGATAAGCATGAAGGACACACGGGGCGAGCATTGGCGAGCGATGTCCGGGAAACTCGGACCAGAGGATCGGAACATCGGGCGAAGCTGAAGTGTGCGAGAGTGTCGGATATGGTGTGATGTGGACTGCGGTTATTGTACTAGAATCTGGCCGTGGAATTACGGTCAAACTGTAATACAAATGTTGTACGTCCTCTAGAGGGAAATAAGCGGGCTAGAAGCGCTCTTTACTTCTACGCAATGATACTTTTAAATGGTGGTGGTGGTGTATACAGATTTCTCTTCTGCGAGTAGCAGATTTAGAGAAGGCACTAGGTTCCTCGAGAGTTTGGTCTCTCGTTGGGGGCCAGCCTTCCGAGAAAGACGCGATGGGAGATTCTTCTACACTCGCGCGAAGGATTGGCGCTCTGCGATGTGAAGTACGCTCCTACTCGGTAAACCCGGGTATTGTGGTGTTTTCGTATCTCCTTGCTTTGTATAGGGCGTGCAAGCAGTTTCTTCAGAACTGGGTGAACGCAGCGCCGTCAGATTGTAGCGTGCTCCTTCGCAATCCGAATAATGATGCGTGCGCGAATAGCCAGGCGCGAGGCGCCTTTCTAGCTAGTCGAGGGAAGTTCGCCGAATTGGATGGGGGGAATGGTATAGTCGAGTTGGTAAAAGGCGCCTTCTCGATAAATGCGCCCTACGCACGCAAGGTGTGCGTTATGAGCAGCCAAAATTCAACAGTTACACGCAGCCTGAGTAGGTCTGCTGGCTGTTTGGAGGATCGCGCCGCGCTTTTCTTCAACTGAACGCGCGCTTCAACACCTGTTATTTCCAATGTTTCCTCCTTTCTTGTCTAGGAGGTTTCTCGCGCAGTTTCTATTCTGTACAACCGCGGTCAAGGTGACCCTGTTACCCCACTCTCGTGAAGGCACACTAATATATTTGATTTGACAATGTACTGGATTAGCGCCTCCCGTTTTAATGGGAGCGCTTTTCCTTTAGCAGTATGCAGTGGAGGTAATTAGATGCCTTCTCCCTCCTTCGCGCTCTCCTTATATACCTATTCCCTGCTTCCCCATTTGTCCATCTCCGGTGGCTTTCTCCAAAGCGCGCTCGCGCTCTTTTCTTCAAACCGCGCCGGCCTTTCCTTTGAACAGTGCAGCGCCTCGCGCCTTTCTTCGTAGAGCCCCGCGCCTTTCTTTTAAATAGCCCTCAGCGCTCTTCCTTGGAATAGCGCCCCGCGCCTTCTGTCCCAGCGGCGCCTTCGCGCACCTCTTTCCTGCGCGTGGCGCATTCTCTGTTAGGCGCCTTTTTCTAGTGTTTGTTATCGCTCCCTGGGTGACTAGGTATCACGGTCAGATAGCACAGTGGTTAGTGCACAGACAGTCTTGATTATGGAATGCCATGTCGTCCGCTACCCTCGTTCGATTCGGGGTCTGTCCACACGGTAGCTTCGTTCAAGGTATACCCTTGAACAAAGCACCTTTTTGTTTAGTGCACGGCGCCTTTTTCCTGTCTTTTGGTAGGGGCGCTTTGTCATTATTTTCCATCGCGCCTTTTTCAGATGGCTCAAGTTGCAAGTTTCGAGGTGCGGATATGGCCTAGTGGCGTAATGGTATCGCGCGCAGTCGTTATTGCAACGTTATTTCCTTTAACTGCGAGCTCCTCGTTCGATTCGAGGTTGGGCCTGTTTTTGGTGAGGCGCTTTTGGTGAGGCTTTTTCTTTAGTGGCGCGTTTTCTTGGCGAGTCATTGACAGTCGTGCGCGACTCATTCCTGATCACGGCCAGATAGCACAGTGGTTAGTGCGCGGATCCTTGATAGGCTCAACGGCAATATTTAATCTGCTACCCTCGTTCGATTCGGGGTCTGACCTTTAAAGTGGTAGCTTCGTTCAAGGAACGAAGCTACCTCTTTTTATTTGCGACAGCGCGCCTTTATTTTCTGAACCATCTGTAAGTGCACCGGTGGATTCCGCCGCACGCGCCCCTTGTAATCTTCGAGTGCGCCGGAAAGTGCACGGTGCGTCGTCAATTTCCCAAAGTGTGTTTTCGAATGCCCCGCAAGTAAGTGTGCCTGCAACTTCCCAAAGTGCGCCAGTGATCTAGCCTATAAGTTCCAAAAGTGTGCCGGTGATTTAGCCGTCAAGTTTCCAAAGTGCGCCAGTGATTTCCAGTGCAAGTGCGCCAGTGACCATGCTTCGAGCCGTCGCCCTGAAAGGCTGCTTTTGTTCTCTGTGGCAGGGTGTCTAGAGCTAATCACAAAGCGATAGCTCACACCGTCGCCTGTGTCTACGCCTGCATCCCCGTCAGTATCCGTTGTGTCGTCTCGTGGCGCAGGGCCCTCATCTGCATCTGCGTTGTCTTTACTGCGGCGACCACCCCCGTGCCCGTACGCGCGCACCGCGCCACCGCTGTTGCTGACACGGCCGTCTCCTTCCCCCCGCCACAAACCATAACCATCCCCCACCGCCATCCCCCCGCCCCAAAACCATGCCTCTTTCCCCTGCACCGCACATTGCCCACAAATCGCGCGGCGCTGAAGACCGGCACCATAGGCGCGTCTACGTGCACGCACTGTCGCTGCAAGCGGTTCTTGGCGGGAATGCTAATGCAGCAGGGACGACCGTGGCCAATGCTGCAACCGTGCATGGATTTAGATTTAGGTCAGGCATCCTTGGTGCGCATCCTGAATACCGTTGGTGCTGTTTTCGGGGGCACGCCTCCCCCTCTTCACCCACCAATGCCGCTGCGTCAGGAACGTACCACCGCCGCACCGGTGTCTCCTCCCACCGATTCGACACGATCACATGTAATGGCACTCCTCCGTCGGACCGCACATCCTCTCAGCGCTGTGGGTTCACCGGCTCCCACCCTCCCCAGTCTGTGACCAGCGCAAGGCGGCGAACAATAGTTACGCGATGTTTGACACCTTCATTCCAGAGCGCCGCTGGGTGGAAACATCTGCTGCTGCTCCCTCGACGGGGACCAACAACCATCTGCACTACCCGCAGCCGCAGAATCCTGCCAACATTGATCACTACCTCAGGGCACCGCCGCGACGGCGCGAGGAACAGTAGGGACGGCAAGGAGTCGTCGCAGACACAGAGCGGTGGAACCATTCAGGAGGTGTCCGCGTCGATTCTGCCGGTGCATTGGCCGGGGAGCAGGACAACATGGTGTTGTGGAATGAAGGAGGTCATGCTGAAGCTGTATTTTTGCTGCTGCTGCCACTACTACATACTTTTTCTCTTGTTCTTCCTCACTTTTCCTTTCTTCAACGTTAACTACCTACACATCGTCAAGCGCAGAGGAGGCTTACGATGTAACAGATATGGGAGTAGAGGAGCTCCGGTAGTTAGAGACTCGAGGGCTTCGTAAAGAAATGTGCGCCTTTGGAAAAATTACAGGGGATCCCGAAAATAATGAGAATGATCGATTTTTTTTTGGCCGATTCCCAAAAAGGAAATCGGCTTGGTGATCCGTCAATCATCTGTCTTCCTTCCTGCGCCCACCATGGGGAATCACCGTATCAGCTCAGACCTCAAGGAACGTGCACTTGTTCTCTGGGAGTCTGGTTGGGAGATCAAGGACATCTGCTACGCGTTTCATGTCTCCCCTACGAGCCTCTATCGTTGGCGCGACATGTTCGATGAATTCGGCACAACCACCAAACCCCCGTCTCCGCTCCGTGGCCGGGAACGAATCATCAGTCTAGCAGCTCTCAATGCCGCCAAGGAGATCTTCTTCCATGATCCCTCTGTTATGCTCGACGAGCTCATGTGGTATCTTGCAATCCATCACGACATTGCCATCTCGAAATCGGCGTTGCAGGCGACTTTAGTCCGAGCTGGACTTACGCGCAAGATGCTGCAGAAGATTGCCTGCAAGCGCGACGAGGTATCAAGGCTGCATTACCGCACCTGCATCCGCGATCCGCAGACCTTCTCGGGAACCGGGATAGGAGTTCGTTGCTGTCAACGAGTCGAGCAAGGATACGCGTGATACTGCGTGTCACTACGGTCGCTCGCCAATCGGAGAACCAGCTATTTACTCCCACCAATTCATTCGCGATGAGCGCTACACACTTACGGCAGCTATGAGCACGCAAGGGTACATCACGACGCATATCGTCGAGGGATCCATGGACACATACGACTTCTTTGACTTCATTGTCGAGGATGTGGTAAGGCGGAACTCAAACATTCAATGCCTGCACATACAACACTGATTGAATTGCAGTTACCCCAGATGAAGCCCTTCCCCGACGTGCAAAGTGTTCTTGTGTTAGACAACTGCAGGATCCATCATACCGACCTCTTGCAGGAGGTATTGAATGAGAACGGTGTGAGACGATAATTTACATATCTCAGGTTGCTCCTGACATCTGTCAGGCGTGATGATACTGTTTCTCGCTCCATATTCACCGGACCTCAACCCGATCGAGGAGTTCTTTTCGACGTGTGCGTAACTCTGTGCCTTGTGTTACTGCTCACTAAGACTTACACCAGGGAAAGCATACCTCCGGCGCCATGGGGAAGAGATTCAAGCCGCCGAGGATCCTTATTTGGCTTTACTTGAGTCGACTGCTTGCATTACGGCTGAGATGGCTGAGGGTTGGTTTCGTCATGCAGGTTATATCTGGTAAAACAGGGTTGCAAAACAGTACCTAGCTAAACAGTATACATGTGACAATGGACAACGAAAGACAATATGATATGTACAATAGCTCAAGAATGAGAAGAAATGAGGGAGAGTGAAAAAGATCAGTCAAAGCGACCTGCAGCCAGGTCTGCCTTGAAGCGCACATTCGCGTTGTGAACACGTTTCCATCCAAAAATTGTAAAACCCGCACCCCTGAGATCATTGTTTAGCGTACTCTCGGTTTGATCACCAGGAAGGAAGCCAACGGCGTTCAAAAGAGCGTGGTCTGCGTCCTGGATGCTGTAGACGGTGCAGAAATCTTCAAGAGTAACAGAATGATGTTTGACAGGGGAAGGTGGTGCTGTGCGCGGCTGCGGATTCAACGGTGGCGGTGGCGCGGGAGTTGCAGGATTGAGTTGTGGGAATAGAGTAGCGAGCCCGCCGCCGCCGTTTTGTGCAAGAAGAGTAGCAAGGAGTATATCAGTCAATGATGTCGAGGATGATGGTTGGGGGGGTGCGAAGGCGGGGGCCAGTGCAGGTGCGGGGGCGACAGCGGCGGCAGCGGTAGCAGGAGTTATTTTGATACGTTGCCCGGCATCGAAAAAGCGCGAAGCAGGCGGCGTTGTGACATCAGCAGTACCTGCGCCCTGTGAAGCTGATTTCAGTATACATGCAGCACATGGAATACTGGGAACATACCATCCCTGCGGACCAGACACCCATACGTGAGTTATTGAGTTCAAAGAGAAATTTTGTGTTGGTAGACACGAAGTTGCGGAAAGCTAGGGTGGTTCCCAATCAGATATTTGTCCTCAAGTTCGGCACGATGATCTTTCGTCGCCTTATTGAATGCAATCTGCCCGCGATGATCAGCAAACAATTGTACGCGAAGAGGAATGGGAATACCTTCTGCTGCTGAACGGAGTCGGTCACGCCAACGGGCTCCAGTTAGGAATAGTTGTTATATCCGTGCAATCCAGTCTTTCAATTTTTCCCATTATTGGTTCCGGTCGCACTCAAACTGACTCCGATTGTGCTCCCGTCACCTCCGGACACATCGTTACACACTCTATCATACCCTGCACCATTCCGGTAATACTCCGGCATCACTCCGCTTACTTCCGTCAACCATGGTCCACCAGTTCCCAGACCTATCCCGGAATACATAGCTCTCATCCAACGATGGATTGCCGAGTACTTTCCTATTTATCATTCACTTCGCCTTCATTACTCCACCTTGTCTTGGCCACCTCCGGCCTCACTCCTCACCTCGTTCACCCTCTGGTCACTCTGGTTAATCCCAGGGCCTCTGGACTAGTCACCCAGCCCTGACCGGTTCTCTGCGGCTCAGCCACATGGCACCGCCGCACTCCTTGGTACATTCTGGACTGCGATTACATTGTCACTCTGAACTCCGGTCCTCCACGTCCCTTGGTTGAGCTCCGCTTCACCCGCGCCGTCTCAGACCCTGCTCCTATGCATACGCACGCCTCTGGAAGTCCTGTCAACTATCTCCGGAATGACCACTTGCGAATATGTCAGCTCCAGCGACCTGGAGGTCCCAAATCTCCAACTAGTACCTCGGACCTTGTCCATATAAACTACCCACGTACCGGTCAAACCTCCAGTGCACTTATACCTCATTCGCCTATGATTTTACACTCCCGCTCACGCTCCGGTCGCTTCGGACATCTCTCCGGAATTCGGAGTCACCGGAGACATCGGACTCTTGTCTGGATCATGCGGTATTATGCTTCTTCACTCCTTATCCATTTATCCGTTCCTTATCACTTCTCTTCTA